AAGTCAGTGTCCGTTATATATAAGACATTTCATGTTTTCTTAACGTAGTGTGCGGACTATTACTCGATTTAACGAATAAAACTCGAATTTTTTGCAGTTTATATCTGTTTTTTTCACTTTTTCAAAAAATAAGTAATATACAAAGTAAGTACACAGTAATTTCAACGAACGAAAGAGCATGGAAACAAATCCTTTCCACTTTTCTTGTCACAAAGTTGAAATCGTTTTGTTTACTATTTTGAATACCAAAACGGGGTGCTCTTTTTCACAAAATGCGTGAAATCTAGGAACTTCTACTATGGATTTCGATAGTCGTGAACAACTCGTAAACAATATAGCTACGCACATGATGAAATGTTCCGATAAAACGATGGTTAAACAGACAGTATCAGTTCTAAGCAATGTTTGTGAAGAGCTTGGCTTAAAACTCGTCTCTAAACTAGTAAGTATAATTCGATCATTTTCCCTGTTCATTACTTTTAGTCTATTGTAGGGTTCATTTAGTGAACTAAGACAAATGGAACCTGTATCAGGTTTCGACGATTCGTCAACTATACCAACATCTCCACCATTACCATTCGTGGATAATCCATCATTATCCCAATTGTCGGCATTACTAACGCAATCCGTAATCAATTTTACCGAAACAAGTTCATCTTGCGAGTCAACTTCCACCTCTGATTTAACATCGAGAGACGCCGACTTACATCCATTTGACTAACTGTCTGACTCAGTATTTGTTCTCTACGTGTATGTTTTTTTATGTGCAATGGTATTCGCTTGTATTTATTTGTTACTGTATCTCTTTTTTTCCTAAAGAATCGTCCTAGCGTTTAAATTATTCTTACTGTACTTTGTTTGTATTCGATCATATATTTAGAAGAAAGTTATAGAAAAATATGTGGCTTCACTCTACAGCATCTTATGAGACCTAGTGGAGAAATACGCAACCGTACTGAATGGAGAGAGATGAAGATAGACTATCTAGTTAGAGGTTCAAATGTTCCTATCCTAATCGTTTTTCGAATTTGTCAGACTTTTTCATTTTTTGGTTTCTTCCTAATTTCTGATAATCCTGCCTATAAGCGAATCTATGAATGATTCATCTTTATGAAAATAAATTTATGTATGACTCATCCTCTTCATTATTCTAATATACAGTTTACACTCTGTTTAGCTTTTGAAAAAATGCTTATGCCAAATTACTGTTTTCCAGGAATATTACATCACGGAAAAGTTATATCACGTGCTATTACACTCTAAACATGCTCAGAAATCTTTTTTAAAGAGAAAATTGTAAGAAAAGCCGTGGCATTTCTTAAATGGATAGTTTGTTGTAGTCAAGCAAGTTAGATCTTGATTTCTTATGTTCTAGGCGCTAGATTCCTCAGATCTAGTGTGATGACATATCAGAAACCTCATAATCAACTATGATATAGTTTATTGATCGCGCTGACTCTCATGGCAATGTTTAAATCTAGAAAATTTTTTCTAAAAAGTCTCTTTACTAGTACCATCAGTTGAAATAATCCGAATAGCTCTATCGAAAATGTACTACTTTAAAACATCAACATATGAGTCATTTGCAACTTTATTGTACAATCGAGTTTTTGTCGTATTTTTAAGTAGTAAGTAATCGTAGATTACGTTCACTTTGTAGATCGAGATTTTCCAACTTTTGACATCCGCTGTTTTACAAGGACTTGCCTAACTGCAACAGCGTTGGCCCACAAGAAAGGGTGTCAAAAGTTGTACAAGTGGTGCAATTTGCCAGTCTCTAGAACATACCTAAGTAGGAAAACATTACAATATACCACGAAATGTAGTTCGAGATTTTTTGTAGATCGAGATTACTCTAAAAGTTTTTTCGGTTCTTTT